AAGCCTTTCTACCAGTAGCGCATCTTTGGGTGAAGCCGGCTGGTCTCTCGGCAGTGAAACCAGAGATAGCAGCTCTCACACTTTTATGTTCTTGTAAAAGCACACACTTTATTAAAACAAGAGACTGCAAAACGAAATGGAGTTAAGGACCACGGTAAGAACAGAAAATGCTTACCTTTCCACGTACAGTCACCATAACTGAACAGCAAAATAGAGAGAGTGAGAGAGAGAGAAATAGATTGTTAGCAATAACCGCTTTCCCATATAAGTCCCACAAGGTGGTAGTAAAGAATAGAGTAAAACAGGTCTCTAGCAGCTAAATCCCATTTCCTCTTGAAACAGGGCCGAAGAAACCCGGACATTTTCCTGATTTTTCCCCCTGGACATGAAGATTGCTTTCCAGCCACTTAATCTGTTTACATGCCTTGGTCTCTCCTGTAGCAGTTTCCCCTTCATGTAGAAAGCCAGCATGTCAAGAACAGCTCAGTTTATATGCCTTGAGTTTTCTCCTAACCAGGTTAGTCTTTGGCAGGAACGAAAATCCAGCAAAGTGTCTTAACAGATGACTTTGTTCACCATACATACGATAGGCTTTTGTGGCCCGACTTTTTACCTTTATAGTTATGTCCGTGGCTCTGGTTGCATTTCCCAAACAGCTTCCTGTTTTCCTCATCGTTCAAAGATTTGCTGGAAGACAGGAGGGCGGAGGGAGAGAATCACCCAGTGTTTAAGAGGTCACTCGTTGGCTTAGTCACAGAAAGGATTGCTATTTTTCAAAATTTAGGTTTGTGGAGAGAATGGTGTAAAAACTGGAACCCCATATCTCTAGACTGCCTGCAAATGCTCTTTCGAAGTTACTTTTAAAAATAACTAGAAGAGGTTTAATGGTTATGCCCTTAAAGTAATAATGAGCTCATTCAACACACTTCTTGTGAAATCTAATTGTGTTACACTTGCTTTAATCCCCCAGAAATATCTAATTGTGGGTAAATACAATATCACACACGTGTGTGTGTCTATTTGTGTTAGAGGGGAAGGGGGAAGGTTCCATGCACTGACAGATGCCAGTCCGCCCAGAATCAGCCTGTAGGTTGCAGGATTCTGCTTTATGCCTGGTTCTTGGGACTGCCACAGGGAGGTTAACCATTTTGGATTGTCCTTCTGGATCAGGTGGGTGGTCTATCCCTTAGCTGCCTTTGCCTCCCTAAGCAGAATTAGCTGGGAGAAATGTTTTTATCCCGGCCTATATTGAGCCTTTCTTATTCATCCTCTCACAAAGCCTTTGGCACACCAGTTGGATACCTGTGCATTCAGCTGAAAGCATTAACCGGCGAGAAGATAGATTCAAGCAACATCAGTTGGGACTCTACCCAGAACATCCATTGCCTGCTTTCCGACGGACTTGTTTAGAAGTGCACCCCTCTCTTCTTTCTGTGGCAGTCTGCCCACCACTCCTACTTTCTGATCTGGATTTACCGTCCGTCTTTCCTGCCCTTCTGTCTTATTGCGCTGATCTTTGCCAATAAGTAAACTGGCGCGGAATCCTGTTGGATCTTAAAGATGTCATTCAAGGGTTAGAGAATTGCAATTAGCACTCCAGGGGTTCTTGGACCACAACTCAGGTTACTCTGACCACTAGACATGCTGGTTAGGCCAGGGTTAGCCTCCAGCAACATCCGCGTAGCTACAGATCTCCCTGGGATCCTGGGTTAGTTACTTGATTGTCACATGAGATGGATGGAGAGGGGGGTGGTTGGTCAGACACACAGACACACACGGGGAGCTTAAAGCTGTGTATGTAGGGCTCTCTGCCTCCCTCCTTTATCCCCACTTCAACAACCCTTTAAGGTAGGGGAGCCCGAAACAAGTGAACAATCCCAGGCTCCCTCCGTCATTCTCATGATATGACTCAGCAGCTCAAACCCACATCTCACAAGTTCCCCTTTTGACTTTCAGAGTGTCCTTGAGCAATCAGGCATGGTTAGAAATTGCCCCCTCAGCTGTGCATGGGCCTTTTGTGTGCTGTTCCCTGGGCCTGTAGCATGAAGGACAGGGTGTAATTCCTCCGACAATTCCTCATTGCTGCCCACTGAACCATCGGCATGCCCATGTCTCCTTCCTCCTCCCCCCAAGGATCCCTGAGCTTTGTTCCCTCAGGGGGGCGGCTTCAGAGTGTGGAATATGGCTCTCGGACCACTGACCCTTCCATCGCCCAAGCCTTCTGCCCCTCCATTACCTGCTCAGCCGATGTGCCGCGGCAAAAGTTTCGGTACGGGAGAGGAAAGTCATCTTGCCCGCCGTTTTCATCTCGCTGGTTTTGGCCACCCGCTGCATCGTAGCAAGCTGTCAGGCGCTCGGCTACCACTAAAACCCTTCCAAGGCTCCCCAAAAATATATCTCGCATGGCTTGTCATATGATATGCGGCCGTTCAGATCTAAATCCGTTCATCATATAGCGTATTTCCCGCCCTAAATCCCATTGCACCGAATAATCATTACGACCTTTTTTTCTTTCTTTCTTTCCCTCTTTCCACTAAAACCCATTGCACCGAATAATCATTATGACCTTTCTTTCTTTCTTTCTTTCTTTCCCTCTTTCCCCCAGTTAACTCAGCATATCTCCTTCCTTGAGGGCATTTCTTTGCTGCTTGAATTAGTCAAGACATGCTTGTGACCTGGACGGATGGGTTTTACACACACACACACACACACACACACAGAGAGAGAGAGAGAGAGAGAGAGAGAGAGAGAGACAGACAGACAGACAGACAGACAGACAGACAGACAGAGGGTGGTTAACAATAGAATAATAAAACATCTAGAACAGAAATCAGAAATTAAAATCAACTCATGAATCAAATAAGCCCAAATGCCTGTAATAACAGAAGAGGCAGATTCTCTAAATGCGGGATGGGAGAGGAGGGGCAAGGGGCCAGGCACCGTCATTACTAAAACATAGTCCGCAAATCAAAATGCATGCAATGTCTGCTAATTTGCACCCCCCCCCGAAAAGCAGAACCGTGCAATCAGCTAAGGTTTTGTGGTTGCTCAGTGATAGTCCCTGATTGCAGACCCAAGAGGTTGGGAGTTTGATTCCTCTGCTGTGCCTCCCAGGTAGCCTTGTGCAAGCTGCACAGTCCCAGGGCGAAGAGGCTGGGAGTTTAATTCCTCCGCTGTGCCTCCCAGGTAGCCTTGGGCAAGCTGCACAGTCCCAGGGCTCCCCGGGAAGAAGGCGGCCATGGGAAACCACTTCCGAGTATTCTGAGTATACCTAGGAAACCCTGGGAAAAGGCACCCTGTATCAGACTTGACTTGGTGGCACATGATGATGGTGATTATTAGGCAACTGGAAAAAAAAGGTGAGCAGACTAAACAGATCTGCAGCAAGCATATTAAATTCAGAGGGAAGCAGAACAGACTGGAAAAAAAGTGCTTCTGGGCAGCACGTTTATAAATCGCTGCTTCAGAATGCCTTATTTACTCAAGTGTGCTGATCATCTATAGGTCAGTGGTTCTCCACTTGGGGTCCCCAGATGTTCTTGGACCACAACTCCTAGAAGAAGCCTTCACCACTGGCTGTGCTGGCCAGGGCTTCTGGGAGTTGCAGTCCTAGAACATCTGGGGACACCCAAGGCGGGGAACCCCTGCTTTAGATCAGTCCTCTTGGGATCCTATGGAGCACCACGATTCTACGATTTTACCAGCTGGCTGTGTTCAGACCCAGACAGAGGTGCCATTTCTCCTCTGGTAGGTTGATCTGGCTTGTCATCTTGCGTGTGAGACTTTGCACGCAGCCTTTCCCCATCGGAGTCACTGGGGGCTCCATAGATGTTGCGAGTCCATTACGGCAGTCGGTCTGGCCCACGTCACTTTGGCGTTTATTCCCAGTCTTGTGACAAATCTGGGCCCTATCTTGAAGCCATCAATGTTGTATCAGCTGACTCTGTCTTGAACAAGTCCCCACAAATTATGGGCCAAGCTAGTCTTCCCCTTAAAAATGCTCTGCACATGACCCGCTTGGTATCTGTGGTAAATTGATTATTCTGTGACAAATCAGCAGCCTTTTTTCAGTAGCATTCAGAACTAGGTCACAACCAGATCTTCCCTGAAGTTTTATTTGGGTGAGAGAAACAGGAGCCCATGGCCTGAACAAGGTGCTTTGGTCAGAGGGGAAAATTTGACTTCTCCTTATTTACTAATTTTATGTTTAGAAAGCATTTTTTCAGACAACCTTTCATCTAAAATAACCACCAGTCATACCAAGAGATTATATGGCACGCCTTAAGAAACCAGTCATAACCAGAAAAAAAAAAAAACCCAAGTACAAAAGCACAGTAAAGCAAGTATTTCACCAAAAAAATCCCACAAGGCAACTCAAAACACACCAAACAGGCCAAAAGATACAGGAACTTTCACAGTATCGGGGCAGAAAATCCAAGCAAGGAAGAGCAAAGCGAAATAACTGGACTAAATCAACAAAAGGATTTTGAATTCTGTAACCTGTCAGCATCTGCTGTAATTTTTTAAAAACTCGAAAATAGCAAGAGTTCCTTTCTTGAGACTATAATACGCTGAATCTCAGTGCTAACAGCTGTCCATGGCAGCCTGGCTAATGGGGGTCTGAGGGTTATTGGAATCCAAGAAAAGTAACTTGTCTCATCTTGGGACAGGGCGTTCCAAAAGCGAGGGTGTCATTCCTTCTCCTCTGGCCTAAAAAAAATATGAGATCAGGCACCCGTCAAAAAGAGGGCTAACCGGCTTCAGTGCCTTGGATAATCTTAGGAGACCTTAGACCTACAGAACTGGATGGGACCCTATAGATCATGGGGTCCGGCCCTTGTCAAGAAGGCACAGCGTGAAATTGGGACTCCCAATCCAGATGTTACCATCCAGCTATGCAGATACATCTTCTAAAGTTCAGTCCTAGCCTGGGAGTGGATTCACCATTTCTGCAAAGCCATTCACCAGCTCCGACTGGAATCAACATGGTTTTAAGGAAATCCTGAGCATTCTGGTCATTCTGTTGCTCCAGTTTATGTTCCTTGTTTTTTTTTTTTTTTAACTAAAGGGAATTAATGAGGTGGCTTTGTTTTTCTTTTTGAGCAAGCCCCTGATTTAAAAAGGGGCTCCACCTTTTCTAGATATCCCATTAAGAGTTAGACAGGCACCTCTCTCTCACTTTTTAAAACCAAGATTGCAGAAAATGACTGGATTTTCTGATCCCGGATGAGATCTGTGGGCTGGAATAGAGGCCCAGTTATAATAATCAATCTGGTTGAATGATAAAGCACTGACCACATGCCCAGGCATCTTGTGGCGGCTGCAGCACCAAGTCATGTAGGAGACAAGATTACAACAGATCTGGCATCATAGGAAAAAAAGAGTCTTGTATTGCCTGGCTTCTGAGGTTGCTGACCACTTTTGGGGATTGGTTTTGCCTGCTGAGGGATGTTCTACTATGATAAATCTGACTCAGCTGGAAATTACGAGATCATTGAGATGCCCCCAAACAAAACTTATCTTTTGAACTGTTGAAAACATATCAAAAGATAACTTAAAAAAATCTTATAAGGGATTTTTAAAATTTCCAGCTCTGGAGCAAGACATGAAAAGCTGCCCAAACTGATAAACATGATAAAAGCGACTCAATTACAGTACAACGGTCTAAAAACGGCTCGCAAGCCACAGTGTAGAAATCTGAGAAAATGTTCAAAGCAGCACATATAAAACCTATAAGGGCAGACATAGAAATAACACACTTAAATGAGAGGGCTTCCCCCGCCGCCTCCTGCCTCCTCGTTAGTATCCTGGTCGTGAATGCAGGCCATCAATTCAGATCTGCCAAGATAAGAAACCTTGGAGAATCTTTAAAATGCATCGCCCCCTCCCTCTTGTGGACTTCATTTGCTTTAGAAGAAGGCCACACAGAGACAAATTCTCATTAGCAGAAAAAGAGACGCCCTCTGAAGGATGAAGAGCGCCTTTCATTTTTAAAAGCAACACGGGAAACGGTCATGGCGGAACAAACAAACACCATCAAAAGACAAACCCGACAGAATATAGGTTTGATATAGTTCTCTCTACAGTATTTTAAATCTGTATTTGTTTTATGGTTTTATCTGTTGGGAGCTGCTTTGGGTCCCTTGGAAAGAAAGGAAACGTAAACATAACATTAAGTAAGCAAGTAAGTTTGCAAGTAAGTAAGTAAATAAATAAATAAGAAAGAAAGAAAGAAAGAAAGAAAGAAAGAAAGAAAGAAAGAAAGAAAGAAAAAGTCTGTGTGTCCATTGGGGGACCTTGGAAAAGTGGCCACTGGCCATGCAGTCTTGGGGATGATGGGAGTTGTAATCCACCCCAAATTCTAAGAGCTGGATGGGGATGGGAGGGAGGTGAATACAGACAGAAGTATATTCCCCTTTTCATCTTGGAAAAGTGGGAGGCGTTAGTGTTCTCTCTCTTCTTCTTCCTTGGTGGCTGGATTGTGTTGGGTGGGTTTGTTCACTCACTGGGAAATGTGGTCTCCCCTGAAGTCAGCTGAAGACGGAGATGGCGTGGAGACCGGTTTTCGCAGTCGTTCCGCTGAGAGGAATGCTTCCTCACCCTCACTTAATCCCATTGTTTTGGGTACGTGGCCAAATCCCACATCCGCCATTCCTTGGCCGTCGTTCGCACTGTCCAAACCACAGCCTTACGCTCATGACATTGACAGGAGGCATGGGTCCAAGATATCTCAATGTGGCCCCCTCAACGGCCTTTATGGTGGCATGGCAGAGTCTAAAACAAATGCGGAAACAAGTGTGGTATAGCAGAATGGGCGACAATCAAAAAAACAATGGAGGCTTATCTTTTAAGTCTCCATTCGGCCGTGAAGTTCATGGGCTGGGTCAGCCACGTCCCACCTTTTAGCCCACCTCACAAAATTGTTGTTAAGGCAAAACAGGGATGACAGAGAGAGCCACTTATAGTTTCAAGGCTTCCGTGAAGGAAAAGGGAGATAACGATGTAATAAATTAAATACCTTCACATTCAGAGACCCCCTCCATTGAGTAAGAATTCTGAATGACTGGAGGTAGCATCACTCAGAAGAAAACTCCAGTAATTAAAAAAACCTTTATTTTGATCTGATAACAGGAAAGAAATAAAATCCATCTGTTTTATTATCTGTCTTCTCCAGTCAACTCAAACTCTGTGGAACCGGCCTGGCATTTGCCCTGTTGTCTCCTGTCTAGCTTTAATTCCTGTTGTGGGCTGATACTAATTGTATTTCCAAGTCCTGCCTGCAAATCCCTCCTTGTAGAAATACCGGTCTGGGATGCAGAAAGCATGTCTGGCATTATCGGCTGAGATTAGGAGGAGGATCAACAGCGAGTGAGCGGGATCGCCAAATTGTCCCGAGAGTTGCAGGACGTGTTCAGTCAACGGAGGAAGGGCTGGTCCTCCAATATAGCCGATCGACAGATTTAGGGACAGCGACCTGATCTGAGCTTTTGGATACTGGTGCTGTTCTCTTAGGACATGGAAGCTGTATTCCTGCTATTTCCTGCATTTACTTATTTACTTATTCTAAGGACCTTAACGTGGCATACACAGTTCTTGTCCTTCCTCACATCATCTGTGAGGTAGAGAAAGAAGGAAGGAAGGAAGAAAAAGAAAGAAAGAAAGAATCATGAAGTTGGAAGGGACCTATAAGATCACTGAATCCAACCCCGTGCTCAAGGCAGGAATCCAAACCAAAGCAGATCAGCCAGTTTGTTGTCAAAAGAAATATTTTGTTTGTTTGTTTAAGTTTTATACCACCCATTTGGCTACAAGGCCAGTTTACACACAATGGAACAATGACACATAAAAGTATAAAACATCATCAAACACATCCAATCGAAAATTACAACATTCAGTAACAAATGTAGAACATAATTATGTGCAAAGCCAAACACAAAATCGAATCAGAGTCAAAATGGCAACATACACTGTAAATATGATCGACATAGACATGAATAATAGTTTAAAGGACAAGATGGCAGACTAGAAATAGAGTCTGAAAGTGCAACTGTGTTATTTCCCTGCCTAAAGAGCCATATCGTCAAAGCTGACAGACCCAGGGTACACTTTGCTTCATGCCTCTGGAGGAACCAGAATCTAGACAACCCCCCAACTTGCTGCCCATCCAGTAACTATTACACCACACTGTCTCTCCACGTTCAAAGCCAACAGTGTCACTCCTGACATCGGAAACATGCTTTCGACTCTGAAGGAAAGCTATTACGCCTGTGATCATGTCGGAGTAAACAACATTTCCTCTCGCAAAAGTTTTTTTGTTATGAGTCACTGAGCTTGGCATGACCTTGGAATAGAAAGAAGCCAACCAGCCCGACCACTGATTCACGCGGAGAGGCGGTAGAGAGACTCTCCTGAGACTCTAAAGCAGGCCATTGTCAGGCAATGGGCTTTTCTCAGCTTGGCCCACAAAGTGCTCCTGACGGTGCTGTCTTGACAGGTGACCTGGAAAGGAAATGGGACGTTGGGGTGTAGATGCTCATCACACCGACTCTGGGTTGGGAGGCTTCATCTGTTTCCTAAGTTTGGCAGCTGGCCGGGGGTTTGATGGACTCTTACTGCAGCCAAAATGTGCTTTTAAGGTGTGATTTTAACTTAACTGGTTAAGTTTCATACTGTTATGGTTCACTTGAGTTTCAGTGCTACAAACTGAGCGCTGTAATTTTTCTTCCTTCTGTCGGTACCTCTTTTAAACTTGATGCAAGCTGCCTGGAGTCCAAGTTCTGGAGGAAAGGTGTTTTTATCACCTCTGCAGGTCTTATGTGTAAGTGAGACAAGGCGCCCCTAACTGAGTGCGTTTACGGCTCTGGCCACAGCAAATGCTCGAGACACGTCAGATGAAGAGAGGGGTTCACGACAGGACAGGAAGGGACCCTCTCCCTTAGGGATCCTCCTGTGCCTGGGCGTTTCTTTCTCCCTTCTTTGTCTGTTGGGTGTGATTTTTCTGGGTAAAGGTAGACCCTGTTATCACATCAGGAGGAGCAGAAAGCGTGTGGGCTTGGGAGAGAGCGTTTTGGGACACCAGGGAGAGAGGAACGAGTAGGTGGACCTCAACTATGGGAGGGGTGCCAGGGGGTGGGGATTGGCCACTGGCAGCCTCCGGACCTGTTCAACACGACTGAGAGGAGCAAAAGCAGGGTGCGTGCGCCCTGGCCGGGTGGGGCAGTGCATGATGCTGCACCACCAGGAAGCCCGTGGGCGAAATGTGTGTGGAATGGTACAACAACACAGGATGAGAGGCAGCCCGCCAGGAACTGCCCTGATAAGATGCTCATCAGTAGACCAAGAAATGACCTTTTTGAAGCCCCCATTAAACCATTTTTTAAAAAAAGGGAAGAAAGGGAAAACACTTTAAAAGCAAAAAACAAAAACAAAAAAAAAACGATTATTTTTGTGCTCCTGAAGGCTTTGTCCAGCAACATCTTTCACGTCTTGGGCTTTTGGGAAAGCTCTCCTAAGCTCCCCCTCATTGGATGGGGTGTGGGACCCTAGTTTCTAGCTCTAGTGAAACATGGGGTCACTTCAGAGGTCCTCAAAGGCCCTTTGGTTTTCCTCTGGACCACAGTGGGCCTTTTCATCCTGGGGGGTGGTGGAACGTGTCCACCCCTACTAGCGCGGTTGCCCAGCCGCTGAATGACTTCAGAGTGAGCTCATCAAGGTATCTAATTGGAGGACAAGTTTAGGAAAAATTCTTCTCACTCCCTTTTTCCAAGGTTTGGCAATATGGATGTTTACCTGTAGCATCATCGTTGTCATCATCATCATCATCTCTCTCTCTCTGTGTGTGTGAGAGAGGCTCTAATGATAAATTACTGTAATTTATTTATCTGGAGCACAGCTGATCAGAAACTTGTTCTGTTGGTTTGGGAGCAGGGCTGTGCAGTAACCGCCAGGAGTTCAAGGATAAAACGGAGCCGTGTATTTTGTTTCCCAAACGAAGATATGTGGGATCAAAGTATGAGATTTTTGATTTTTTCACTTTTTGGATGAAATCTTCCAGAATCCGAGACATGGTAGTCTTGAAAAGCTCGGACTTCCTTTCCATTCCCTTGAGGTCCATCCGTGGCCATTTTCACCCCAAACCAGACGCCAGGCTTAAAATACCTGTCCTTTTGGATTTGCACAAATAGGAAACAAATCTAACGGAATGAAAAAATGATTATATGTGAGGAGTCCAAGAGAGGAAGTGCTGTCTGGGGAATTCTAGGAATAGCTGTTTTCAAAAAGGACCCCCACCACACCCCAATTTCCTTACATTCTATAATCTGGATGTGATTATAAAAGAGAAAAAGCACAATGGGGATGGGGGAATGAAACTTGCAGCATCACTTTTGAGTCCTGTAATCAGGGATTCTACCAAGACTGGAAGGCATCCCATTCTTTATGGGGGTGATGTGAGATTATTGTCTGTCATAGAAAGAAGTGTGTGGTCCTCCACTTGTAGAACAAAGCTAGATGCACAGTTTTGCAGGGTCCCTCTCTAGTGTTACTCTCTCTCTCTCTCTCTCTCTTTCTCTCTTTTGCAAAACTAGGCATGGGCTCCTGGCCATTTCTGTTGCCATTCCCCCCTTCCTCCTCCCATCTTTGACCGTCTGAAGGAGCCCTTGGACTAGCAAAGCAAAGCAAACCTTGGGATTGCAGATGTTTGCCCATATGTGTCTCAGACGGAGGTGAGCTGTTCCGGTTTGGCAGGTTGCTGCCTGCTGGGGCCTGCCTGGCCTCTTCCCTCTTCTCCACCCACTTCTCCCTGATGAGAGCTGGAATTCTGGCTTCTGTGTGTCCTGAATTACTAGCATTGTTGGGATGCCTTCCTTGCGTTTCGCTCCAGCTGAAACTGGACGTGAACGCAATGGAACAGATTGGGCTGGGCTGGCCGTTTGTGTCTTTGTGTCTGAATGCATGGCCATGCTAAGCAGGGAGCGAGACTCTTCCCTCATGGCAGCAGCCCAGGCGAGAGAGATTTTTCACACATGCCTTTTATACTAACGGGTCCTGTCTAGGCTTACTAAAGAGGGGGTCGTTGCAGTTTGCTTTTCTTACACTCAGGAATACATTCATTGCTCAATTTCGCTGCCCTCAAGCTTTTAGTTTCTACCCTGGTTTTGTAGACTAAAAAGGGGGTTCATCGGGAGATCTGAAGGTGTCACGATTCATCCAGAAAGACAAAGAAGTCTGATTTTGAGTTTGGAAAATGCAAACACCCCCTGCCCCAACCCCAAACGGTCACCTTGGTCAAAAATGAATGGAGTTCCTTTAAAGATGCTGCTCTGCTTTGGGTGGGAGGGTTATTGTGACAAGTACCACTTCCAGAAATCCCACATGTCTGGAATAAGGCCCCCATTGCATTAAAAGCAAGGCCAAGTCCTTCCTGTTTGTTGATGAGTGGATGAATCAAGAGGGTCATTGTGTTATTTTCCTTTAGCCTCCTAAATGATCAGCAGTGTTGCTTATAGCCCGCATTAGAATGGATCTAGAAACTCCGCAATGCTAATAAATCCAGGGGTTATGCTGCGCCATTCGACACCTCTGCGTTTTCTGGCTGAAACTGGCTCAGGAGGTACTTAGAAAGAGAACAAGCAGGTACAACACTTAACGAGGAGGGGGGGAAAGGCACCCTTCAAAGTCATGCCTGTGACTTTCAGCAGAGTCATAATTAAAAGAGGGGAATTTTTAACCATTGTCGTTCTTTCGGGTTGGCTTCCTCCATGACTTTCAGCAACACATGACCTTGATGGAACCTAAACCTTAAATGTGTTTCCGTTTGTTTTGCTAAGCATTCTCTCGCGCCAAAAACCCCAAGAGGCCACACAGAGAGGGGACATTATGAAGAGGTTTTATTGGGGGAAAGAGGTCTTTACAACGACATGGGTTTCCAAAATACATTTTCCAAAACAAACAGAGTCTGTACAAAAAACAGCAGCCGTCACCCCAACCTACGTGGAAGTGTACTGTAGAGGACTCAAAAAATTGGACCTTAGGACACCGAAGCCCATTTCTTTTCCATCATCTGCCACCCAACCCCCACGGTGGTCATGGACAGGATCCTCATCCAGCAGGAGTTAAAAAGCCATCGTTATGAAAGGGAATCCCTGCCCTCCAGACTGGCCCACAGGCAGCTAAACCTTGGGTTTAAATCCCAACTCAGAAGACTGAGAAATCCAGAAGAGTCTTTCCCCGCCTCCTCGGCAGGGAGGTCTCCCATCTTATTAAAAAACCAGTGTTCAGCTTCTTTGCAGAACGTCCGGGAAAACCATTCTGATCGGTAGAAACAGTTCCTGTTTCAGCTCCTGGCCCAGAGCAGTGATTCTAGAGATGGATTCCGGTGCTGGCACCCTGTATCAAAACGTCAAAAGTCCTCTAAACGCAGATTGGATAAATTTGGGGAGGAGGGGCCAGAAGTAAGCACCTTTGGCGCCTGCCTTTTTCTAATACCATATTTTTGTCTAGGCTCTGATAACAAAAGATAGAATTCAAAGTCTACTTAAAAACGATAATGTGGCAGAGTTACCTTTTGAACTGGAACCAGCCCTGTCGTTGGCCATACCAAGGCGGGCATACTTGAGTTGCCTTAGACAATGAGTTGAGTATTTAAGCTTATTATTATATTCTGCCACAATGTTAGGCACAGAAGGGGCACCGTGGCTTTCTCAGACCACAGAACTTCAGACCGCCTCCATGCGGACACCACGGAACAGCTGCTTTATGAATCGTTTGATATGAGAACAGAGTTGGGGGGAGTATACGCAGATTAATATGAAAAAAAGTGCAATTATAAATACGGATATTTACTGGCAGAGGGGAGGGAAGGAAAGAGAGATGAGGGGTGGGGTTTTTCCATCCCGAGGAGGTCAGCTCTCCCTTCTTCACATTCTACTTGGAAACTCAGGTGGAAGCTCGCGCCATGGCTTCGGCATTTTGTTCCAATTGTCATCTTAGGAGAGGAGTTTGTACCCAAGAGAAATGGAGAAAAGCTGCAGAACTGCTAGAACGAAAGAGCTGGCTCCGGCCATGGAGACGGAGCTGTTCGGGCCCTTGGTCCACTGGTGGGAGGAAGCCAGGTTGTGGTGGTTCATGGTTGCGTTGAGGACGACATGGGTGTGAGTGGAGTCGCCGTGGAGCGTTGGCTTGTGGGAATCGGTGGTTGGATGGGTGGCCGCTGATGGTGTTGTTGCAACATCTGCATCTGAAAAAAAAAGTGATAAGCACATTTGCCTCATGCAGATGATGGTCTCAAGATGGCTTTGGGGAAGGTCTGATTTCAAAACCGGTATATGAATGACATAGTCATCAGAGAGCTGTAGAGCAGGTCTCACCTTCTGTATCTCATTTGGGAGAAGGCCATAATTTAGAGTGCATACTTTGCATGCAAAATGTCCAGCGTTCCAGCCTACAAGGGACACCTGTCAGAAACTAAGAGAAATGCTTGCAGTGCCCCCCCAATCTTCTCTTTGGGACCCTCTTTTGGGAGTGGGGAGACATCATTGTGGCCCTCCTGACGTTAGCTGTGCCGGTTCTGTACAGGGATGTTGCGTGGCACCTACGTTAGTCTCAAAACTCACTTTCCACTGGCCGGTATCTTGTCCAGAACATACTGGCCCTTGATTAAGTGCTGTGGCTGGCTTCTGGTCATGTGACCGATCGCACAACCAACCCCCCCCCAGTGCAATGCAAGGCTGGACATACTATAGCAAGAGGGGGAGATCAACACCTGACCCCTTTCCCACCATCATGGAATGTAACAGGATACTGGGCTGTATCTTTCAGTGCAGATGTTTTTTTTAGATGGCATAGGAAGAAAAGGGGTTAACCCGGCAAGGGAGAAACTACAGAGATATCCTCTTGCCAACGTACCTCTGACCAGGTTCTGCGTCTGCAGCAGGGTTGTGCCATTGGCAAAGGAGACAAAAGCCCTGTTGTTGTGAGAAAAGAGGGAGAGTGATGAGTCAAGGAAGAGCATGGAATAATGTCTCAAAAGCATTCCTAGCTATTAGAGATAGGAAAGTGGATACATGGTGACGTGCCCAACTCCGAGGGAGGCATTAATAGAAGGAATTCTGTGCCGTCAAGTCAATTTTGACTTATGTTGTCCCTTTTTGGGGTTTTCCAGGTAGATTATATAGAGAAGTGGTTTCTCCTTCGCTTCTTCTGGGGGGTGCCCTGGGACTACTGAGTTTTCCAGGTAGATTATATAGAAAAGTGGTTTCTCCTTCGCTTCTTGTGGGGGGGTGCCCTGGGACTACTGTCCAGCTGGCCCAAGGCCACCCAGGCTGGCTCCGCTTGCAGGAGACCCCATGGGGAATCAAACTCCCAACCTCTGGCTCCACAACCACCAGGCTATTCAGCCAGCAGAAGGATCAGGAACCAGTGTTTTCTGTGCACCCATTGGAAGAACGGCTAAAGACCAGCATTGATGGCTACAGCTAGTCAGAGTTCTTTAATGGGATATGTGTATTTGCGTACCTCCATCCCACCAAATGGCCCTTCCTTGGGACAAATACTTTGTCGATTACAGTATTGACATTCTAAATAGGTTGTGGGGGGAGGGACCCGCTCAACCGAACAGGAATCGGACCCTTTGTCAATTCTGGAAGTGAACTTCTAACCACTTTCTACTTCTGTTTTTTTTTTGGGGGGGGGCGGTTATTTTTGACAGTCTTGGGGGCCCCCAGAGGGTCAGTACACTGGCCCTCTCACCCAGCAAAGTTGCCCATCTCCAATCTCAAGGAAAGACAAAAGCTGGAGGACAATCCGTCCTCAAGGAGACAGTCTGTCCCACAATCAGCTTAAATTCTAAATTCTGACAACTTTTCACATGAGAAGGAAAAAATATCACTGGATTCACATTTATTCTGCCCCCCCCAATTTCGCCTAACTGTCAAATAATTACCCGGGGGTGTCTCTATCCACTCATGACTGCAGTCTCTTGATTAACTTTGGATAGTTCATTAAGTACATGAGAGTTCTCCTGCTGGCTCATTAAGATCGGCGGGATAACATGTAGGAATCCAGTCTCATTGGCTTGGAGGCTTGTCCAGTTTCCATTTGAAAGTCTCCCAGCATCGGGGAGCTTCCCACCTCCCAGCAGAAAACTGGGTCAAAGCATCGGCGGACCTCGGCCAGCCCGTTGGACTGGCTGAATGGCCAACGCTGGGAAGCCATGAGCTAAGAATAAGGTAATAGTCATCCTTCCATTTTGCTGCACTTCGCACCTGACATTTCAAGATAGCCTGCTTTGGACCATGGAGGTTCTATTTCATTTTAGAATGAAAAGCATTCCTAGATGGTGAGTTAGTCCTGGATTTTTTTTAAAATGGACACCTACTTCACTCTAACCCAAGTTGCTGTGTTGTTTTGAGGATTAACTGGACAGAAAACCCATCTTTGCAACACCGAGCTTCTGGCAGGGGCGCCAGGATAAAAATGTGATGAGGAATTCATTGGAAAAGCACATTTTAAAGCTTTTTTTGGGGGGGGCATTAATGGATACAAAAAGACAGCTTCCCATCACAGGCCAGGTTCTCACCGTATTTGTGCGGACGCCACGTTGGTGTTGCTCGGGGACGTCCAGCGTGTCCGTGTGCCGCTGGACGTGATGTTCCTCTGCACCAGATTCTCAGTCTTGCTGCAGCTCAGGAGATGGTTTTCCATCTCCCACATGCCGTTGGAAGCGCCGTCGTCGGAGGTCACCGCTTGGAGGATAACAGAGGTGCCGTTTTCGATCCCGGGGATGGATACTGGAGAGGGAGAGAAGGGGAAAAGGACCATTATTATTTTTTAAAGGGGGAACCAGTTTTTCCACTGACAAAACAAAGGCTTCTGAGATGCCAGGAGAAAATTCAAGAGAGCTTGAAAAGTTCGGGTGTTCGAACCATTCCTCCCCTTGGACTGGGAGGGGTCAACAGTGAGGAGGGGTGGGGTGGGTTTGTGGCTCCCGAGGGACGAGTAACCCCCAGAGCAGGAGGCTGGAGTCTACTCAGTAGTATTAGCAGGGAATCAGCTGGAGAGAAGAGAGCGAGCACCTGCAGCAGACGGAAAAGAGGAGAGCAGACTCCCAGGAAACAGGACTGCCCCCCATTTCCTAGCAGTAGGTCATGTTGGTGTGGGAGTCCTGGTCCAAAAAAAGGAATTTTTCCAAGGAGGGTTTGAAATGAATGATGGAGGGAAACATCTCTCCTGTACCCACATGGCCTGCTCGTTTAGAGGGGTTGTAGTTAAGTCATGCAGGACGCATGGCTATTTCCTCCGAAGGGGGGAAAAAGCATAAGGAAAGGAGTCCAGGGGGTGACACCAGCACCCCCACCCACCCAACCCCATGGTGCTGAGCGTGGGTGTTAGAAACAGTAGCAACATGGGGGCGGGCGGGATGCCCTTCCCAGTTCTTGCAGCTGGGGTGGGCCACACCCTGTCAACCCTTGCGGTCCAAGAAACGGAGGGGGTTCCTCTGGCAGACTGCCGGGGTGGATGAACTACAATTCCCATGGGCCCTGTGGATGATGGGAGGTGCGGGGCCATAACATCTGGATGGGCACCCGTCTGTCATACAGGACTGGTTGGTTACGGGCATGACACCCTTGGCTCTTTGCATTGAACTGAAGCCTACGGATGGCCACCTGTTTGTGGATACGGCCATCTCTCCCTCTCCTTTTCCTCTTTGTTGTCCTTACGTTGGAGTCTGAGCTTCACTTGCAAAACTCTTCAGGCTGGGTGGGACCTTCCCAGTTGCTTGCTTTCCCCACCGGCCGGATTCTTACACTTTGCTTTTAAGGGAGGTGCCCCAGAGTTTTGCTCAGTTAATGTGGGGGCAAAAAGACCCCCAGGAACGCCAGGAAGGGCTGCCCTGGGGAGTCTGCCGTTTGCCTCTTTATCCTGCAAAACAGCCTCTGTCCACGCAGAGGCTCACCTCCTATTTACATTTCAATTGCAAATGATCAGGTGTGATGATGACTATGCTGGTTTTGCATTGGCTAGATCAACGCTGTGATTTTTTCCCCCCAGTTCTGGGAAAAAATAAGGTTCTAGGTAAGCACACTAGATCGCATTCTTAGCTGGCACCAATCAATATTTTGTTTTCTTTTAATATAGTCCACATTGGTTTCTGGGAGTATTACGGCTGGACCTCCCTTACACTGAAATGTAAACAAGATGCCAATTAAAAAAGAAAAAAAAATACTACCCTGATGAAAAACATAATTTTGTAGGCCAAGCCAGTGGGGGGGGGAAATCAATATAACAAATGAGATGCTTAAAAATGATTAGAAATATTTGAAGGGGGTGGAAGAGGTAGGCCTAGGCATTTAAAGAGAGAGAGAGAGAGAAAGGAAGAAAGATCTATTCATGTTTAAATTAGGGTTTTTTTGGTGTGAAAATTTAACAACTGCACTATTGAATTAAACATTTCAATGTCATTTTAGCTGAGGTTTTTAAAAAATAGTCACAGGCTTAAGAGGATTAAAATCGTCTCCTCACCCATCCTAACAACAATGGCCATGAGATGGGTGATAATGGTTACATTTCGCAGATGAGAAACTGAAGCCAACAGACGGGACCTGCGCCCAAGACAGAGTTTAGACATTTTACATTTTTTGAACTACAGCTCCCAGAAGCCTTTGGGCAACCGCGCCGTTCTCCAGTGAGTCCACGGCTGGTGAGATTCGAACCCTGTCCCACCAATGCGAGGATCAGCACTTCAAGATAGTTATTTGCTCATGACGAAGACTACAGAGGCTGACTCTCTTGCCTCAAAATCCACAAGCTTCTTTCAGTCCATAACACCCTCCTGTTTCAGGTTTTTTTTTAACCCCCAAGGCAAGTTTGGGATCTCTGCATCCGGGGGGGGCTCAGGATGAGCCTGGATTCGCAAGGCACCTGTTGCCAAACTTGTGCCCAAGTTGGAACGGATCACTTCGTTTGGGACAGCTTCACCGCAAACACCTGGAGAGGCAAGCCAAGAACCAAGAGAAGCTAGCAAGGCAAACGGTAGGAAAAAACCATCCTGGACACTTACTTGTGTAGATTGAATTTGGTTTGTAAAACAGGGGATGTACGCTGAGCTGGTAGGAGCCGTAGGCAGCCGTGTTCCTGACAACCTCGCAGGGAGAGGGCTGAAGTGAAGCCGGAGACACCAGGAAGGCTCCGAGGACCAGAAGCTGCACTGGGGACTGGAAGACGATCATGATGCTGAAGTTTTCTGGGTTGTTTTCCCCCCTTTTCTCCTTTCCTCAAATCTCTTCCCCGTCTCTCTTCTTTGGCCCAAGGTCTGCCCGTCCTGTGCCTGAGATCTGGAGAAGGGCAACTTGCAAAGGTATTTATACGGCTGCGGAGGAAATGCAAATGTTGTCCGCTTTCACACCCTGGCTGGTGGGAGGTTTCACGCTGATGACACATGGGGTGGATATTTCCTTGGAGGTGCCTCTGCCCAGCAGCACCTGAATGAGCCAGCAGGACTAGAAGGTGGGGTGGGGGAGAAGGGATGGGCAACCGAGGACAGGGACCCGGAACGGCTGGAATCAAATCTCTCCCCGAGGCCAGCAGTGACAAGCCTGCGTGCATCAGCCTGACCCTTGACCTGAAAGTCTTCTAGTGGAAAAATGTTCTCCCCCCCTCCTTCCCAATAAGAACTGTTTTTGATATCAGGAGATGCTGGCGAAAGAGCCTCCTCTGGGCATGTACGGATTGAAATCTTACTAGCAAAGGCAATATTTGTTGGGGCAGAGCAATTCATTTGAAAAGCAAAGCCCGCTCACTCTTGGTGCTTTAAAAATGCTTTGCACTTCTATTCTGTTTCATTCTATTCTCGACCCAAATCCTGTTGCTTAGCATTATAAGTGTCCCTAGCTAGGGTCGACCCATTGAATCAGTGGGGCTTTGGTCTGTCAGCTGCTGCAGTTCAATTGATTCAAATGGTTCTACTCTAGTGTAGTAGGTAGTGCAGTAGAGTTGGCCCATTTGAATCGATTGATGTTATGGAGCAATTGACTTACTGAATCCTATTGATTCAGTGGGCTTACTCTAGAGCAACTTACTACACCAAAGAAGCTGGCATCTTGTTCCCATCAAGTAGAGGTTGACCGGTCCTCCTTCTTTGTGGTTTCAAAGGCAGGGCCAGTTGATGTAATTTAGGGGTTGTCTATAGGATTAGCTAAATTAGCTTTTGTGATCCATTTTCTGAATATAAGCGAGGGCTTCCTTGGCAAGTGTGGCTGCTCAGGCATGAAGGTCTGCCTGAATCACATCTCATGAACACTGACAAATTTTTCCACTGTCTGTAATGTCTAATTTGACCTAAGGAATTTCAGTCCTCCTCTGAGACAGTCCTTCTGCCACCCCAGCTTATGAATCCGGTTTCCATTCGAGACCCATCCTCTGCGGATCTCATATAGCTGCAGACATTAAGGCTGGCCAGATGCCCAGCCTGTTTTAGTGTTTATTATTTCTACACTTACTGCTTTCAGCTTTTAATATAGTATTTTAATGACGAAAGCCACCTTGGGCCCTTTTTAAGGAGAAGGCCAGGTTAAAAATAGTGTAAATAAAGAAATGAATACATTTTCCCATTTTCTGCTGATGCAGTCACTCCTGGGGAAACCGAGGCACCCACATTGTCTCCTTAGTGAGCTTTTTTTCATCCTCCTGTCCCTCTCATCACAAGGGTGTGAGTGTGAGGGAAGTGCTGCTCGCCTGTTGTACGATACCAACACCCGTGCACACACAGACGGGGGGGGGAACCAAGCCCTTCCCCAAATCCCACATGGCCTTGGAAACCAAGTCCCCAGTTTCAGTGTGGATTTCAAGACTCCCACCGTCTCTCCAATAAGCAGCCACTCCTTAGCTTAGGTCTATGTTTTCCCATGAATTCGTCCCAGGCTTTAATTACCCCCTTCCTCCCCTGGTCAGTCCTGGAGGTGGATCATTAACTTTTCCTCTGGGTTTTTTTTTTTTGCTTTTAAACACAACAGGTGACTTTCCATCTTAATTCCCCTCCTCCTTTTTTTCTGACAGTCTTCTCAACCCTCACCCTTTCCTCACTGGCCCCTTCATGAGGTGGGATCTGGGTGGGAACTGGTGCTCTTTGTCATGGCAAGGACACCCCCAAGCCGTAGGGCAGAATCCCAGGTGAGTCAACAAGGAGAGAGAAGGTGTCTCCCCCCACCCCACCCCGCCAGGATCGGCAACCCTCAACCCTGGCTGTTTCCACATCTGAGCTCATAAGGTGCTAAGAATGCTCCCCGCCAGGCCCTCTGGGCATCGTGGGGGGTGGGTGGGGAAGCAGGAAAGAGTCCCTTGGGTGCCTGGCCCATTTGTGTGCCAGCTTGCTCAGCCGAAATGATTCAGAGCCAAGAAGGTGGAAGAGGCGAAGAGGCCAAATCACCACCGAGGGAAAGTCCCAGATTTCAGAGGTGCTGCGGAGTGACAGCTAAATAGGGAAGCCAAAATAAATAAAAAAATAAAATCCCATTGGGAATGAGTGTCCTATGAGTGTCCTCAATTAAATAATGATTTCGGATTGGGACAGAATGATGGCTGTGTTAGGCTGTTGCAGGAAATACCCACTCGGCATCCAGAATGACAAATCATGTTTCTAGCCCTCTGTGCGCATCGGAACATTTTTTTATCCATAGGTATCCAGGGGCCTGTGGTTGTGTTGATATCCAGAGCTGCCCTAAGCATAAGAGGAATTCTGGACTCCAGACAGCGAAAGGTACCAAGGTGCTGGCTGACACACCGTTTAAGCTGGTCCTCTAAAGAAATTGGTCCAGTTGCCCCTGACTCACAACGCTGTGAGCCCCCAGGACACAACATCATTCCCAGCCATGCTTAAGGCATTAGAACCCCTCTCCTGAGGATATAGTGGCACCAGGGCTCACAGGGATGAAGCCCAGGGACTTTCTGAGGAGCAGAGCCTGTGACATCATCTGACCCTCCCTCCATCAGCCATCCTTGTTCTTCTCAACTTATCCCAATCCCCAGAATTGGTGGGAAAGGAAACAAAACACTGCTATGAACCAACTCTGTTCTAATGGAGAGTATGCGAAGCTAGTGTGGTGCTGAGTGGGCCATCAAGGACCGATAACTTTACAAAAGACCCATTCTTCGTTTCTTAATATGGATCAAAACAGACAAATTAAACCTGTCTGTGTTTGACTCTCCGTTTGAGGGGGTGTCGTGGGCTGATTCTGGAGATTGTTACGAGGCACCCCATTCCCTTCTACTTTTAAAAGTGCCTAGGCATCAATGATGCACTAATTTATTACCAAAATGCCTGCAGGCCTCCATGAGGCTAAAAAGGGCACATCGGTGAAACTGTAGAGATAACCGTCATATTCCAATTATTGTGTGTCACCAGTGCGTGTTAAACTTTTACACCAAAGTAAAGAATTGCCACCTGGCTTGCGGAAGTTAAAGTCCAAATTCAGACAGCAGTGTTGTGTGCATGTTTGCATGCACGCACATGCATGGGTGTAATTGCAAATGTATAAAATGTCAGAAAGTTAGGTCAAATTATCCCCCCCCCCAAGTCCTTCAGGTGCCACAGGACTCTCCCGCTTTTTCTGCTTGCTTTGTCGGCTGCTGGTGGGCAACCAGGCCACCCTCTGGCATTCCATGTCTAAAAGACCCCTCCCGTTGGGTGCAAAGTGCTCTCTTTCCCCCTTTTCCATCGAAAAGAACAGGGCAAACACCGGCATGCTGCCAAAGGAAGTCAGGAAGGCATTTGGTGTTCAAAGTTGGGGCTTCCCACATCCGCCTCCCATCTAAAATGTAGACTTAACACCCCCCCCCACGCATGATAAGGACAAGGCTTGCAATAATAACGGGAGGGAAAGGTGATAAGAATACATGGAGTTGGAAATGGCTCTTGGAGAAAGTTAATGGGGTGAAAACAGACCTTTAACAGAAGGATCACTTGGGGATGGGGAGGGGGGAGAGGGCTCAAGTCACCCCCTGCCAGCCCCTCTTCCTGTCTCATCTGCTACATCTCCCTTTCCAAAACCCTTAGCACTTAACTGAGAAGGTTCCTTGCTGAAATCTTTTTCAGCACTCATGCCAAGGAGACCCGCACTGAAATTATCCCCTTGCGGATAATTTCCCCTTCGCTTCTGGGTAAACAATGATTCTTCCATCATAAAATACCCATCTCTTGCATTTTCTGTTTGGCCGGATGTTCGGAAAAAGAGAAAAAAAATGAGGCGAGGACATGGAGAGATAACCCCAGCAAAACTGGGAGCTGTGGGCTTTTATCCCTGATTTGCTATTCGGTTGAGACACCGTTTAATTGGATTTTAATGGAGGCTTAACTGGGCAATTCCCATGTTTTCGAGTTTCAGTCTGATTTGCTGAGACAAAGGAAAAGTGGTTAAGAAGGGCTATTTGAGATCAGGAGATAAATAGGCAGATAAGATCAGCACAAGATTAGGTTACATATTAATTTTCACCCTTTTATTTAATCAATCAGTCTGCTGGCGGGATGCCTTAAGTTTGAGCAAAATCTGTCTCCTGGCCCGAGGCATAATTCAAAATCCCTCGGAGAGTGCAACATCCTGATAGAAAGAGAATCATAAAATCTTAGAATAAATGAGTTGGAAGGGGCCTATTTGCCCATGGAGTCCAACCCCCTGCTCAAGGCAGGAATCCAAATTCAAAGCAGATCGGACAGAGGGTTGTCCAGCTTTCTCTTGAAGGCGTTGGGGCGCTCACCACCTCCTGAAGTCATCGGTTCCATTGTCAAACTGCTCTAACAGTTAAGACGTTTTTCGTGATATTCAGCCTAAACCTGGGTTTGAAAGCTGGTGTTTGAAAAAGTGCAATCCTATTTCCCTGTCTTCTTTTCTCAAGGCTAAACTATCTGGGTTTGAAATCTGGTATTTGAAAAAGTGCAATCCTATTTCCCTTTCTTCTTTTCTCAAGGCTAAACAGCCCCAGTTCTTTCTGTCTTTCCTCATAAGGTTTGGTTTCCAGTCCCCTGATCATCCTTGTTGCCCTCCTCTGAACTTGCTCCAGTTTGTTGGCATCCTTCTTCAAGTGGGGTATCCAGAACTGGACACAGGACTCAAGATGAGGCCTAACCAGTGCCAAATAGAAGAGAACTAGGACCTCATGGGATTTGGAGTCTATACTTCTGTTAATGTATTCTAAAATAGCATTTGCCATTTTTGCAGCCACATCACACTGTTGGCTCATATTTAGCTTGTGATCACCATTCCAAAATCCTCCTCACTCATAGTATTACTGAGCCAAGTATCCCCTTCTTGTAACTGTGCATTTGGCATTCCCCTG